AAAAAAAATAATGAAAATTATTTTATTTTACAGTAATTGTAATATTACAATATTAAAATGTTCTAGTTTTTATTTTGAATAAAAAAAATGGAATTAAACCGATATATCAGCTATAAAGGGCTATAGAGTGACGCTGTAGTTCCAGAAGTTTTTCTTCCATTCATTATTCCCATAGGGAATTTTTAAAAAGTCTTTATTAAAGACTTCTAATCTTTGAACCAATCTAGTCTGCTACAAGGTGAATCACAACAAAGTAAAAAAGTTTATGAATATTAGACAAAAATACAAAGGTACAAGACTGTGTACTTAATGGCTTTAGTGGGGGAAATAACAAAAAATCCCATGAAGCATTGCGAACACCATAATAAAATTTCATGGGAGCGATTTTGGCGCATTTTGGCTTTTTTCAACTCTCTGATCCCATACAGCATCATGGGTAATGTATGTCCAACAAGATTATTGTAAAAAAAAAAAAGCTGAAATAACGCAGAAGCAAAAGCAAAAACCATAGATTAACATCGTAGCTCACAGTAGGGTTTAAAGTTATAATTTAAGCTTTCCTAAGGAGAAAATGAATGGAGGTTTTGCTAACGAAAACCGACTGTTGCACTCTATCATGGCTGCGGTGTCACATGACAAGCTTGACGTGGTGATACGTTCTAAAATAATGGTCGCTTGAAAAAAGTCACGCCGGGGATATTTTAAACTCACTTGTGAACGGCTTAATGAATTGATTGTGCTTGATTTTGCTCTGCAGTCAATGGTGCCGCCCCTCACGCCCTCCCCGACCGATGGCTTGCCAATGGGGAGCCTGGCATCTCACTCCCCTGCCCGCTCTGGCAGCTACAGCAGCGGCATCTCGTCCCTCAGCCGCTGCAGCGTCTCTGAAACGTGCGGGATCGACCTCCCGCCGCCCGACCCTCCTCTGCCCCCCGCCGTTCCCATGGACATGCCCATTCGGCGGGGCAGCAAGACTCCTCCGCCCTACAGCGTCTACGAACGGAACAATCCCCGGCGGGCGACGCCACTGCCTCACAGTCTATCAGTGCCGCCCAGTACTGACAACCCCAGCCTGACCGCAAAACCCCAACTGAACCGCACACAGCGAATTAATTCCGAACCGCGCCACCGGCCCACCCCCAGAAAGGTCTCTCAGCTGTAGTGTCCGCGGTAATGGGACTAAGTTGCAGCTGATTGCTGTAAAATTACTGTAGGCTATGTATCATAATTGGGAATGTTTTCAAATGCGAGGAGGTGCGTTTATGTGGAGGACAGGGAGTGGCATATTCATAAATAAATCTTTCAAATCTATTAAATAAGAGTGTCAATGAATAAACAAGTCTATGTCAATACATACATCGAGAAAAGCCAAATCAAAAAATCAATAAAAAGTTTAATTTATGTATTTATTTATTGACACATTTCATAAATAAAGAATTATATAACTATCATTTGAATCTTTTAAATAAATAAGGTCAATAAATAAATAATTAAAAATAAAATTTGGATTACATAAATAAATCCTTTGGACTTCTTTTTGTATTCATTGACATACACACATCTCATTATTTATTGACATTTTTGCTAAAGATTTATTTATTATATCTCACTCATAGTCCTCCATACATTTGGGTTTTGTATTCTATAATCGAAATGAAAGTAAATCGGAATGCACCCATGATGAATGTTTTTTTCCTTTTTGTTTTTTCGTTCGTTGATATTAAGTAGATCATCTTAATTTCATTTTTTTCAGCTGCATATTTGGGTGACTTATTTTGTGGAAGTGCAGCTCAGAAACGCTCTTCACCGATGAACTGAACCGGACACAGTCCTTCTGATATGCAGTTACAGTTGGAAATGATAATGTACTGGAAAAGCCTTGAAGAGATTATATGTACGCTTTGAAATGGCATGTAATTTACAGCAAAAATCTGATGATCTGGCAGGTCCATATCCCATTTAGAGTGCACTGAAACATATTGCTAGCAAGGTATTTTTGATAGAAGTACAAAATCAGTGTTGTACAGCTTTTCTTTTCTCACTATGGCAGTCTTTTGTTTCTTTTTCGGTCTTACACGAACCGAGGCGTGCAGCTAGACCTGCATCCCGTTTTAACCGCTTTGTACTTTCCGGAATGGCTAAAAGGTGCTACATATTTCTTAGTGTTTTTTTTTTTTTTTTTTTTTTCTAATGTAGCCTCGTATCTACCGAAACTGCCTGACCGTTTAAATGTGCCATGTGATGAAATTGTGTGGTCTCCGAGTTTTGTGCCAAAGATGCAAACAGTATTAACTTCTTTGTCAGTGAGAGTAGTTAGGAAAGCTTACCTGAAGTTAGCGTGACCGCTAGTGCTCAACAATGTGCTTCTTAAACCGTGTGCAGAGGCGTAGATCAAGACTGCATGGGGCATGAGCAGTACAAAGCAATATAACCTTGTAGTTTGCAAAGAGTGATAGAAACAAACTTTTCCCAACAGCCAGATCCTAAATCAGGTTTGGTCGCCGCAGTCACTTCCGAACAATATTGACTGCATCAAATCTGTGTTTCTTTCTCCTTTAAATGTTAAATCCCAACAGAACTTTTCACATAGAGGTCAGAAATTCAATTTGGACTCTTATTTGGACTTTAGGTCATAGATGATAAACACAACGTTAGGAAATGCTGTCTGGAATTGATTTTCTTTTAAATTGGTTTTTCTTTTATATTGTTTTTTTTTTTTTAAAGAGTCATTTTTGCACCATATTTTCATTGAAAGTTTCTTTAAATCATTAATTTTATGTGTCATTTTGGTAACACTTTACTTGAAAGGGTGTTCATAAGACTAACATGACACCTTCATAACCATGACATGACATGTCTTGAATATGAAGTAGGGTTTATGCATGTTTATGACAACTGTCGTTAAGTGACTTTCACTTAGCATATAGCAAATATGACATTGTCATGTCTTTATGACATCTTGATATAAACTATAACATCATAACCTGTCAGTGTCTTTGTCATGACAACTTGACATAAAATTAAGACAACTTTGACATTGGCTGTAACGAGGTCATTATAACTGTCATGAATATTTTTTGTGACCTCAACTACAGCGGTACTGATTGAATTTGTCATTAAAAAGTTATAATGGCTTCATGACAGCGAATGTCAAAACCAATCGCATGACAGTTTAATGTAAAGTTAACCAATAAAGCTAGGTGGTTTCTTAAGTTTGATAATTAATCTGCTTGTCATGTTTATGACAGGTTGTGTTGTCTTAGTAATGTCAAGTTGTCATGTCAAAGACACTGACAGGTTATGATGTATTGGTTTATGTCAAGGTGTCATAAAGACATCTCAAATGTCATATTTGCATTAAAAATGTCATAACTGAGCAGATGACACTTGACACAAACATGCATAAAACTTCCTTCATATTCATAACATATGTCATGATTATGAAGGTGTCATGTTAGTCTTATGCACACCCCTTCAAGTAAAGTGTTACCGTAATATCTAACTTGGAAAATTAACTTAAAACATCAAAACATTCATCTTGCTAACAAAGCCAGCAAATGTTTAATGAAACGGCTGATTTTTAGACATTTAAGAAGTTGCATTTCAAAAGAAAAGAGAAACGTTGCCACATTTTGATGTCAAGTAACAAACAGCTTTTTCACTGCCAGCTTGAAAGCCCACAATTCCTTTAATAAGTAATTGATAATTTGATGTATTTAGTTGTTGAAATACAACTTCAAAAACATGCAACAGCCTGCGGGAATCACGCGGACAATCGAAATGGTCTACATTTTATACAGCAAAAATGTCCCCTGTTATTTTATTGCATTTTTGTAGATACATACAAAGTACAAAGTGCTGTATTTTTTGGCAACCTGAAACATTTGAAGCACGAATAATCAAACTAAAGTTGGAACAGTGATATGATTCTTACAGATGGGCACCGATTCGCTTGTTCCCTATTTTATTAACGGCTTTGCAGCAAATGTTCTCATATTCCCATGTTTTACAAGAGTTGCTCATTTCAGGCAATCATGTTTTGTAATTTCGATGGATTGCCAATGGTCAAGTCGTAGGACGCTTGTATTTCTCCTCTCCTCTTCTTTCACTCTCCTTTTTATGGATTATACTCTTTCCGTTCAATTTTTTGAACTTGTAAAGTTGTACTTTATATCATACAATGGGATGAAAGTATTCCATATAGCCTGTGTTACAGATTTTGTACAAAAGGTGTTTATATGAAAATGTAACCAGTTCATAGCTTTGAATGTTGCAACTAAAGTTTTTATTTGTAAATGTTGAATATTAACCATCACACAAATAAAGGTTGATTGATGTAAAGTGTGAGTTTTCATTTATTATTGCTTCTCTTGAGATAGATCCAATATGAAGACCTCAAATGATCATTAACCACGGCTTCTTTAACT